AAAATTAAAAATATTCCCTTTTTTAATATTTTTATGCACCATCCATATCTTATTAATAGATTTTGCGTCCGCTGACTCATTGAACAGTTTCCATCTTAGAAAAGGCTACGTATTATTAGGATCGGGTGAAGATAAGCTCTCTTGGCACCTAATGAATATGGGGAAATTGCCTCAAAAAGCACTTAGAAAGTTATTAGAAATGGTACAAAAAATGAACAACTTGAGGCAACATGGAAAAAACTGATGGGAAAGGTTATTGTACTTCCCCTACATTATAGAAGATATATATTTTGCCCCATCCAACCATCTAATTTAGATCAAGTGAGCCAACTGACCATTTGATCTAGATCCGATGCCTAATAGTATTTTATTTTAAATTTTTTTCTACAAATTGTATAAATATAAAATTTGGTACATGTTATCTTCTCAATGGGCGCATCTAAAAAAATATTAAAAATATTTTTTTGATAAAATATAACGATCAAATTAACTCTTGAAACTTTCAAAAGTATTTTAGTTATTTTATTTTATTAGAAATATTTATTTTATATTTTTTACAAGTGTGAGTTTAAGAGAGGAGTGGACTCCCAAAATTTTGATGTCAAAAATTTTGTAAAGACGTGACATTGTGATTGGGCTATTTCAGCCATCCATTTAAAATGGACGGTTGGATAGGGGGAAGTATATAAATTTTATGAAGTAGAAAAAGCATAGAAACCTTGCCAAAACTAATACCCCATAGGGGATCATGGTTTGGGTAGGTTATCAAAAGCGGGTAACCACCAAATACAAGTGCAAAAATGGTATTACGTTTTGTTACAATACAGACTTCTAATATAAAGTTGTGATTGAATAGCATTATGACCTCTTCTTCACATGTACCTTTGTGGGTAAGATTTGTAAGTAAACAGATTTGAGATTTATTGAGTTAACATAGGAGCCATATCCAATTCCTCCTGACCATTTAATTTTAAAAGAAAGTCAAAAATAAAAACTTTGGAATATGTTTCTGCCCACTCTAATTTGGATCGTATTGTAAGAACAAAATCAGGGGACAAAGGAAACGTCCTCATGATATTTGGGTCATGAGAGAGATGATATGGACAATTTGAAATAGCATCCTAAAAGAAAACATAAACCCATGCAGGAATGCTAGAAAAAGGTCATATATGAAAGATGATATTTACAAACTCCCAGGTAAACTTCAGTGAGATAGAAGAAATGTAGTGAGGTCATTACGTGAGTAGGAAGAAACTTATATTTTTTATTTTGTTTCTTTTTTTTTCCTTCTTTTTTTTTTTTTTTTACGTCGGATGAAGCTTATTGTGTTACCCAGTATTTGAAAACCCACATCAGCCAAGCAGGTAGGCCGTCCGAAAAACCAGTTTGAATCGGCAACCGAGATCGTTTGATCTGCAAGATCGGGCTAATCCAGCATTTAAAATTTTTATAAATATTATTATAAATATTTTTTTTGGTTTCTAAAAAAGTTGAGGTAGTGCATCATGAATTTTCATTATTTTATAAAAATATATAAATATTGACAGGTTGCTTCCTATCTATCTAAGTGTCGATTGACTATTTACATTCACATCATATTTAAAGCATTTCAAGTTAGTACTTCGTTTAAATTTTTGAAAAAATAATAGAAGCTTTTGGAATAAATATTATAATTACCAAATATATTAATATTTAAGATTTTATACACTTTATTTTGAACAATATAATAATTAAAAGTTACAAGATAGTACCTTATAAAAAAATTATTACATTTTACTATTACAGATATATTAACGAAATGTATATAATGAGAACATTTACTTTTGATACAAGAATGTCACAATCATTGTCAACTATTAAATGTAAAATCGGATGGGTAGTGATGTGTCGCTAATTGAGCACAAAGAGCTGCGATACATTTTAATTTGTTAGATTTCACATCCAATGAAAGAAAACGTGTGACCTTCTCGTAACAAAAAAGAATTGTCACATAGTATACAATCCTATATAGCAATTACAATTTTATAAGATAGTATTTCTATAAATAAATTAATATATTCTTTAAAATAGATATTGCAATTAAAAAATAATTATTGATAGTTAAAAGCTATATATTTTATGAAAAAGTATACAAAGAGACAATTTACTTTTAAGAAAAGGAAGTCTCAATCTTTTTTGTCAAAATCAAATTTCAAACTATAAATCATCATCATCATCGTAGCTTTGTTCTAACTATTTGGGGTTGCCTATACGAATCATGGTCTGTAATTTAGCTCAATCAAATATCATATCCTCAGTGCCAAACGTCCCTATATCTTTTATCACTACTTCCAACCATATCTTTTTGGGCTTACTCCTCACTATTTTTTAGCCTATTATAACTTATAAATATATTATAAATTGTAATAATAATAATTTTAATGTAACAATAATGATTTTAATATAAATAAAAAAATCAAAATAAATAAAATGGTCTCTATAAATAAAAGAGTAATGACCTATGAGACCCTCACAAACTCATGTACGTAAGACCCCAAATGATCACCATTAAATTTGGTACCAATATCTAGAAAAATCAAGTCTCACACCCATGTGATAACTTTTTTAGAAATATGTGCCAAATTTAATGGTGATCTTTTGAAATCCTACACACATAGGTGTAGGAGGGTCTCATAAGATCATTACTCTAAATAAAAACCCCTAACAACTTTTAACATTATAACGTAAAAAAATTATTTCTTTAAAAAATGCAAACTTTTTTTCCTAAAAAGTAAAAACCAAGCATAAAGATATAAAAAACAAATCAATAAAATAAAATAAAGTATTAGCATTAATCTTTGCCAACAGTTTATCAAATAAAACCCCTAAAAAAATCAAACAATTTAATTATAATGTTTTCTTAAAATAGTATTTATCAAGAAACCTTAAACCCAAGCCTTATTTTGGGCCAGATCTATATTAATCAGTATAGATCCATTAAATTGGAGCACTATTATTGTAGAGAGAATGGACACGATTCATTTGAACCAAATTGGATTCAATATTGAAGAAGAAATTGAGCTTTCGGCGGACTTCCACGAACCACAACTTTATAATGAAACAAAAGATTCGAGCTAAAAAGATCAAACTAAAATAATATAAATTGATAAATACAAGTACCCATTGTAGAAGGGGGCGCTATGTATGGAGCCTAGGCTCTAAACAATGAAAGTAAAGTGCACTTTCAACTAGTGTCAAGAAAAGCCGTTTCAATACAGAAAAAATAATGTAGATGGAGCAAATCTATGAAAATTTGAAAATTGATAGTTCAAAAATGCTTTGCGAGATGCACTATTTCTAAAACTTGAAATCCATTTTTTTCTAATGTCCATGCATCTTAATGTCAAGATGATCATTTGAAGATATTTGAGGATCAAAACAATCTTTTTTTAAGTGAAATTTTTGTGGCTTTAATTTGATTGTTTAGAGCCTCAGTTCCATATAAACTTTTTCTTTATAAAAGAGACCTAGACCATTTTTAGATCCTTGTTAGATTTCACATCAAATGGCTAAAAGTGATTGTGATTTTCTTGTATCAAAAACTAAATGGTATCACAGTATACAATTCTTTAAAAATAGCCTTTGATTTTTTTTTGGTTTTTTTTATGCGTTCTGATACTTTTTTTACTATCTGGGACTTGTTTGGTTGGGCCAGTTTACCAGTTTAGCCGGTTGAACCACTTCTGACCCCATATTTGGCTAATTGTTTCGATACGATTTTTCCTACACTGGTTCCATAAGAAAGGACCCAACGGTCTAAACAAGAACCTTTTGGCATCATCTATCGGGGTTGGTAATAAGTCTGCCTGAAGTCAAAAAAATATAGCATGGGACTTGGATCAGATCCAACTCGACCCAAATATAAAAATATGTATTTAACTAAATGTAATTGTCTACAAAGAGACCATTTATCTTTGTACATAGAGGTCACAACTATTCTTGTCCTTTAAATTGTAAAATGGGCGTTTGTAAGAGTGTCATTGTATAGACATAAAATTCCAATCAAAAAATTTTCAGATTTAGTGACTCACCTCAAGCTATCCAATTTGACATCTAATGAGTGAGAATGATTGTGACATCCATGTATAAAAGATAAATAATATATTCATAGACAATCCTATATATATATATATATATACTTCATGTATTGGGACTCAAAAAATATTACTGGGCTCAATTGGACTCGGACTCTACCTATTGGGTCCAATATTTAGACCCATACCCAGACCCACCTCAAGGTCGGGTGGATCCATCAGGTCTACACCTCAAATCCCTGGTCGGGTATATAAAGTTTTAGAAGAGAGATTGTATACAATGAAACTATTTACTTTTAATACAGGGAGGTCACAATTACTTACAACCATTTGATATAAAATATGATAGCTTGGGTGTGTCATAAAGTTAAAAAAAAAAAAATTATCTTTTAGCTCGATCAATAAAATAAATACAACCTTCAAATTTTATGTAATTGTGAACGCATTTCACACAAGCTAGATAACCTCATTATATGCTTTTTCTTTAGGGTTGGTAAGTTTAATCACAAACCCCATGAAGAGAGAGAGAGAAGTTGGGTACACCAATACACAATTTGGGGAAAACAAACACGAGGCTTGCGCATCGGGTAAGATGGCTTCTCGCATGAGCACATGTATGGCCCTCTCTCTCTGTCTAAATCCACCTTTCTCTCTCTAATTTCTCTCTCTAGAGTAGACCCCACCTTTCTCTCTCTACTTTGTCTCTCTAGAGCAGAGGTTTCTCTCCCTTTCACACTCCTGGACCCTTCGTCTCCCTTGCTTCATGCATCTCGTACTACGCTCACATGCAAGGTCCACCTTCTACCTAGACCTCGCCACTTTCTCTCTCTAGACCCACCTTTCTCCGGAGTCTGGACCCACCCGGCCTCCCTCTCTCTCTAGACCACAATGCCCTCTTTCTCTCTCTAGACACCTCGATATATCCCCCTCCCTCCCCCCTCTCTCTCCACCGCAAACTGCATTTCTTTTGTTTTGAAAACTTTGATCTTTTGCATCAATGGCGACCTCTGCAACTCCCATCCTCAAAGATGAGCTCGACATTGTGATACCCACCATAAGGAACCTCGACTTTCTTGAGATGTGGAGGCCTTTTCTTCAGCCATATCACCTCATCATAGTCCAAGATGGGGACCCAACAAAGGTTATCAAGGTCCCCGAAGGGTTTGATTATGAACTCTATAACAGGAATGATATCAACAAGATTTTGGGTCCAAAGGCCTCTTGTATCTCTTTCAAGGATTCGGCCTGTCGATGCTTCGGATACATGGTTTCGAAGAAGAAGTACATATTCACCATTGATGATGATTGCTTTGTGAGTCCCCTCTTTCTGTATCTCTAATTCTCTCCCCCCCCCCTCTCTCTCTCTCTCTCTCTCTCTCTGGTCTTTTATTGTTTTTCTTATTTCCAAATCTCTATATCTGGCGTTATCTCTCTCTCTCTGGTCTTTTATTGTTTTTCTTATTTCCAAATCTCTATATCTGGCGTTATGGGCAGTGAATTTTGGTTTCAAGGTTCTCCCATTGTGGAATTTATTGTCTCTGTATCTAGGATAATTTCTGTGAATTGTGGCTTACTTATCAAGGTGCTTTTGATGGTGGTTCAAGTTTTTTAGGTGCTGATTTTTATTATTATTTTAATATAAATTTTGTGCTTTTTGTGATGGGTTGTGGTTTTTTGTTTGGTTTCTTTCATTGGTTTTTTTTTTTTTTTTTTCAATTCTGGTGATAGGTTTCCGTGATTTGGTTGTTTTGCTCATGTTCTCTCTGAAATTTTTGAAATCAAACTGCTTCCTTAATTTTACTGATCCAAGGAAAAAAATTGAGTTTTGTGGTTTTTTATGTGATTGCTTATAGGGGTGTATGGATCTTTCTTTTATAACATTTTTGACTTGATATCTGGTTCTGATCTCCATGTATTTGGTGATCCAGCTTACAAACCAGCACTTGCTATTAATGTTTTTGTTTTTATTTTCTTTTTCCTGTCCTTAATTAAATTTCTAGTTGTTATTGTTGGAGTTGACTCCAAAGAAAAAAAAAACAAAAATTATTTTGCCCCTTTATGTTTAAATTTTTAAAGTTTTCATTGCATTTCTTGTGATGAAATTGTTCTAGTTATATGTATATCTGTGAGCTGTTGACTTTGATCTTTGGCTAAGATTACATTCATAGTTCAGTTAAACTCTCTGAATCTGGTTTCGAGTTGGATTGCTTTCTAGTCTTTTCTATTAAATAGAATTATAGAAATTGGGCATCATTTTAAGTAGTGTGGATTGTAATAAGGCAGATCTGTTAGTCCTCAAGTCAGATATTTGGTTATTGTATTAATTACAATTTGATGATGTTTTACTTGTATGGATTCATATGGCTATCAAATTTTTATGTTTTTTAACTTTTTATTTTTCTGCTGGAGACTTAGATTTTGGGCTTGAAATTGACTATGCTCCGGTTGGCCATTTTTCTCTGGTTAACCCATGCCAACATTGTTTCCTTAACTGCTTGATCAAGGGCACCTTTTTCTTTTGGCAGTAGTCATGTGGTTTAGGCTAACTGTGATTACCTCGATCTTGTGATTTTCATGGTGTCGTTTGTAGCATGTCATTGATTATCTTCTTCACATGTTGGCTAAGATCAATGCTTTTCTCTTTCAAACGAACATTCTCTGATAGCCATCACGTGAAGAATGCATTTTGTGCAACTGAATGTTTTGTATGCGTTATTTGGTTAGATATTGCTTTATATCTTGTTTAACCTACTACGAGCTTACGTCAGTTCATGGAAGTGATATTTGTGATGTTTCATTTTGTTGTCCCTCATTTGTGAACAATGATCTGCCTCTCTCTCTCAGACATACAGAATCACAGATGCATATTTAATACATCATTTTTTCTTCTTTTTTCATTGGTAAGATCAACTTCCCTTGCCCCTTCCTATCTCACCTTTTAGTTTACCAAGTTGAAATGATTGATTGAAGTGTTCTAGTATCTTCTTATGCTTTTCCTTCTCTCTGTTTGTTTGTCATTTAGCTAGTCCGGTTTTTCCATAATTATCATGTTATTTGGTTCTTCTATTTGATCTAAACTCAGCTGCATCTAATCCTTTGTAAAATCTAGCTTCTGTGTTCTTCTCATTATAATTCTGTATTTTCCAAATAATCTTGCTTATATAGGAGTTTATTTCTCATATGCTACTATATAGGAGTTTATTTCTCATATGCTACTGTATGAACTTTATTCAATTTGAAGTGTTTGATGAAGGCTGTTAACCACAGCTAATAGATCACCCCTTCCGTGCATCTCTCCTTCATATTTGAAAATTTGCTTAGGTTTCTCTAGCTAAAGAGAATGATTTTCTTTTGCCCTAGGTTGCAAAGGACCCAACTGGTGAACAGATCAATGCTTTGGAACAACACATTAAAAACCTTTTGAGCCCTTCAACCCCTTTTTTCTTCAACACACTCTATGATCCATATCGCGATGGTGCGGATTTTGTTCGTGGATATCCTTTCAGCCTCCGGGAGGGTGTCCCGACCGCTGTTTCTCATGGTCTTTGGCTCAACATCCCTGATTATGATGCTCCCACCCAACTGGTCAAACCCCGTGAAAGAAACACTAGGTGAATTACTCTCTCTCTCTCTATATATATATAGAGAGAGAGAAAGATGGAAATTCTGTTTCTTTAGTTTTTTGTTGGTTTATTTTTCGAACTTGCGTGGTTAATAATGTTCTAAAGTTCCTATTGGAGTTAGTGAGAAGCTTATTTTCTATCTGTACCAGGTACGTGGATGCTGTTCTAACAATACCGAAGGGCACTCTTTTCCCTATGTGCGGAATGAATCTTGCATTCAACCGTGAACTTATTGGCCCTGCCATGTACTTTGGCCTAATGGGAGATGGCCAACCTATTGGCCGTTACGATGACATGTGGGCTGGTTGGTGCACCAAGGTCTGTGGCCTCTCTCTCTCTCTCTCTCTCAATCGATCTCGAAGTGAGATGCTTATCTCACTCTCTCTTTTCAAAGATTTTCTTCCCCATGTGCTTGTGGATGTCACTTTGTAACTGTATGAAAAGCTCTTTTCAGGAAGCCTGGTCTCTTGTAGGCGCCTTTGAAACCAGCTTTTTAAATAAATTATGCATTTTCCATGTGATCTCACATTGGTTTTTCTCATTGTTCGAACTTAAGATCAGTGTTTTGTTTGCCTTGATTTTCTTTCTGAAGTTTCCTGGGTTTTATGATTTTCTTCGAAGGCATAGGTATAGGTTTACTTTTTCCTTATTCTGTCTGTTTCTTTTAGCCTGTTTCATAGAGTGAATAGACCTTTCAATCAACTCCTGATTGTTTGAGCCATTACACATATCAGAGCTCTCTCTCTCTCTCTTTCTCTCTCTCTCTCTAACTGATTCCTTGATCATTGTGCAGGTTATCTGTGACCACTTGGGATTGGGATTGAAGACTGGGTTGCCGTATATATGGCACAGTAAGGCCAGTAACCCGTTTGTGAACTTGAAGAAGGAATACAAAGGAATATATTGGCAAGAAGAGCTCATCCCCTTCTTTCAATCTGCTACGCTCCCAAAAGAATGCACGACTGTGCAAAAGTGTTACATTGAGCTTTCTAAACAAGTGAAGGAGAAGCTTGGGAAGGTCGATCCTTACTTTCAAAAGCTTTCGGAAGCCATGGTTACATGGATTGAAGCTTGGGATGAGCTCAACCCAAGCTCCAAGTCTGATTCTGCACTCCCCAATGGACCTGCAAAAGTGAAATAGGAGAGGGAGGGAGATTGCTTCCTTTTCATTTTCTCCCTTTTCCCATCTATTTCACCATCTTGCAAAGAGCTCCACTTTGAAATCTTGGTTTTCTTTCACCTTCATTTCTAGATTCTCCAATTCTCATTCTCTTAGTATATCTCTCTCCATTGTTCACAGATTTCCTCTCTCTCTCTCTCTCTCTCTCTCAAACTTGGTTTCCTCTATTTTTAATTTATTCTAGTTTATTAGTGGTATTGTAAGTTTTCTGAGCATCGGATGATCGGATCGTTGTATTTTTGGCATCTGGGCAGCTTTAATTTATAATTTTTGCTGGGTTCTAAATGTTTCATTTACTATTTTCAATACGAGATGGTTCTTATATTTGATTTTATAAAATGTGTGGGGTGGGCATTCTGTTTCAGTGAGAATTTGAATATTTTGAGTGAAATTTATGGAATTGCTCTGTTGTGTGTTTGTGTGGAGAGGGAAGCTTCAACTAAAATTGCACAATTCATGGACGTCTCAAGCAGGCGTTGACTAACAAATGGAATGATATCGCTACCGTGAGTGGTTATCAAGGATAATATCCACATTGAGAAATTGTGTATTTTTTTTATTACGGGTGCAGTTTGTAAAGAGCCAAAGGCTCTGAACAATCAAAGTAGAGCGCGTGCACTTTCAAATAGTATCAAGAAATGTGGTTTAAATACTGAAAATCTTTGTAATAGCTTTAAAATATATTTTCATCTTTAATTGTAAAATTTGAACTTGAAAATATTGAAAATTGGCTGTCCAAAAATACATTACAAGATGCACTATTTTCAAACTTGAAAGTTATTTTTTTCTCATGTCTATGTATTTTGATGTCGAGATGATCAATTTGATGATATTTGGGCATCAAAACAAACTTCTTCTATTGAAAATTTTTAAGTATGCTCTAATTTGATTGTTTAGAGCCTCAGCTATATATAAACCTTTTCCTTTTTTGAATATACGTGATGGTGATGATGGGTAAAATCTTGTTTCTAAGACCGTGGATGCATGTACAGCTGTGTGAATAATTCACTTTTGAATAGTTTTACACATTTAAAAATTTCTTTGTAATTTTTAAATGTTGTAAAAATTTTACAAGAACTTGGAAAGGGCTTGTAATAATAATAATCTTTGTCTTTTCCTAATTAATTGAAGATTGGCTACGTGAATCCTGATATGCTATATGCAGTCAAAATACCACAAAAATGATTCAAAAATTCAATAACAAATCTTGGTAAGGGAAGGGCTTGTAATAATGATTCAAGAATTCAATGATACATGGCTTGAGACTGGGAGCCACCAGGCCACTCCAATTTTAAAGACCTTGGAATCGCCCTATGCATGCGCTTTTCAGCTCTCTCAAAGTCTTTGCCAACCACATACCATTTTACTCAAAAATCGCATAGAGATATAAAGAGGAGACAGAACGTTACTGAAGTTACTCTAAATGTTATAAAAACAAAAACCAGAAAATAAAATAAAAATAAAAATAATAACAATAAAATTCTAACCTGGTTGAACCAATTACCCACCAGTTCCTAATCGACGATTTTGTTAATTTTTTGTTGTGGAAAAGACAAGAAGAAATGGACGCAATGTTCTTAAAGTTTTAAGAAAGTGCAGGATCCCAAAAATATTCTAAAACATTATTTAAATTACATTAAGAAAATATTTAAATATGATTCAGTGACAGGGGCCTGTGATCCATCGTTTGGTCCGAACTGAATTGTTAAGTATGATGGGCCAAGGCAAAAGGACCGGCCATCTGAACAGATGGCCAAGTTTCTTTATTGTAGTTAGTACAAGTTTAAGAGCTTGGCCGCTTCAGCGAAGTATTAAATATTAGTAACGACAAAGTCGGTGATAAATATGAAGAAGCCAAAAAAACAACGTTGACCCTCCGCTTTGTTACTCACCTGGCAAAGATTATTTTATCCCTTTAGATGCAAGCTGTTGCATCCATGTAGGCACCTGCTATAGAGGGTAACCACCCACATGTTGCCCAAACAACAAATCTACCTATGGGCAGAGTGGCTCAGCTCGGCTCAGCCCGGCCCTTAAAATGTAGGACTCGGTCACCTGAGGGCTGGGCTAAGGCCAATGCTGGGCTGCCCTAGACCTTTGGGGCCAAGGCCGGCACCAGCCAGGCCAATTGCCACCCTTACCCACCAGCTAGTTTGTACATACTCCCACATTTACATTTGTAAGTTTGCTCAGGTCCGTGTGTAAGTACATTCAACATTTTTTAAAAGTGTTTATCGTTCCGAAAACAGCCTCTATCGAACCAAGTTTTCAAGCAGCTAGTTTCCAATTCTGTGAACAAGGATAGCCTAATTAGGAGAGTGAGATCAGACACCTTTTCTGATGATAGAATACTGAGCTGAAAGATTTAATTTAATCCCACCTCATTTCCTTTGTACCACATGTGGTGACCAAAAAAAACAGAAAAGGCCAAGTACAAGCAAAATAAACCAATCCAAGCCAGGCCAATACTTGCAAAAATTAAAATGGTAAAATGAGGGATCTTAGCTTTTAATAACTGTTTCTTCTAGCAATGGAAAGAACAGTCAACATGGTGTAATATTCACATGCAATGCCAAAATACTGAGAACCCTAAAAGCCTTCATGCTTCGCCATATTTGCTCAAATCGAAAGTCAGGGTCCTCGAACAGCTGAAAGGAAACAATAAAGCAGAATCACATATAGTGGAAATATTATAGCTGTCGAGAGAGAGAGAGAGTGAGAGAGAGTTACCTCTCACTATCCCTGTATACTCCAACTAAACCATCAGCCTTGTCATAAAAGCTGTCCTTGAGAGAGATCACTATACTCTGGAACCCCTGTCCATCGTACTCTTCACCATCTCTTTTCTCATTGTGTGATTTTGCTCTGATAAACCCGGCAACCTTGGCAACATTTAAGTTGTCCAAGGCTGCATCCACTTCATCCAGTATAAAGAATGGAGAGGGTCTATAACTGAACAAACCATATACACAGTGAGTTTTAAAGCAAATACATTCTCATAAGCAAACAGCATTTTCACATTAAAAACAAAGGTCATATAAATTCGAGAGAGAGAGAGAGAGAGCACCAGATACCTTCTGAACTGCAAAGTTTAACTACAAGAAGATAGTGCTTATGCAAGAACAGTGCTAGAATGGGAAGGCCCTGTTTTGTTGCATCCATGCTAGAGAGAGAGAGAGAGAAAGAGAGAGAGAGCAAAGTTGTTTAGTAGGTTCCTGGACACCCAAGTGGCAAGGGTGCATGGTCTGGTAGCACTGGGTGGTTCACTCATGCAAATCCGGTGGTCACTTGATCACTTATTATTATATCATGGGTCTGGTTTCTATAAGGTTGCAACCTTAAACAATTCAATTAAAGCGCACCTCCAAATTTTATCATAATATGTAATTTTGGTGTAAAACATTCTTAGGATTATCTCAAAATCTATTTTTATAGCTAATTATAAAATTTTAAACTTCAAAAATGGTTAAAATCAAATAGATCTATAAACATATGAAAATCTTGAAAATGGACGGTCTAGATAATGTGTTGTAAGATACACTATTTCTAGGACTCAATCTTTTTTTTTTCCATATTCATACATCTTCATGTCGAAATGATCAATTAGAGGGTGTTTCAATATAAAAACAACCTTTTCCGATAGATTTTTGAGGTGCATCTTTAATTCTACATTTAAGGTTGCAACCTTATATAAACTTTTCCTTTATATTATATATATTTATAGAGAGAGAGAGAGAGAGAGACCTGTGGATTGCAAAAATCAACGCAAGAGCAGCCACAGTCTTCTCACCACCAGATAACTGCTCCATCTCTCTAAAACGCTTGGTAGGAGGCATTGCTGTGTACTTGATACCATGCAAGTAAGGATCATCCTCGTTATCTAGGTTCAGATATGCAGTACCCCCGTGTGGGTGGGTGCTAGATCTCGTCAGTTGCTTGTAGATCCTGTCTATGTTGGTCTCTATGTGCTTGAATGCCTCCATGAACAACTCATACCTGAACAAATACATATTGAAATTAAACTGAGAAAGATTCCATAGGGATTGTCTGCCATAATCCAATGAAACATGGAGATACGTTACTTCATTTATCACCGTCCAATGATTTGATGGATTGTAATGGAGAAGAAGTGGCGCCTAAAAGAATGGGAATGATTTCCAATGGAGTCATACCCTCTATCATCACCCATATCCATGGAAAGTGAAATGGGTGTCCATAGGATTATACTTTTCCTGATATTTGTGCTTTAACACTAAAATATTAATTAAAATTTCACAAAATGAGCCCCAGGAATGGGGCAGTACATGTTCATCTCAGAATTTTGAGGATAAAAACTGAATTCATTAAGCAACAAAATATGCTAACGTGGCATATAAAACAACATACTATTGGGGCCACATGGATTACTGTACTGCTTGTCAGGCACTAGCAAATGATTAACAAAACAGAAACAATTGGAGGTGGACACGAAGATTAAAAAGCATACCTTTTTTGCTTTACTGAGTTATAGTGATCGGTTGTTTCTCTCTCTGCTTTCCGGGCCACTTCAAGTTCTTCACTTGCCTCTCTCTCTTTCTCTAGCAGGGCCTCATACTGATCCAGTGCCTTCAAGTTGGGTGCAGTTCTTTCAATTTCAGAGGACAACAAATCCATCTTTTGCTTGAACTCTACCTCAAGCTTATCTCTATCAGAGGGTTTTGAGACATGAAGATATTCTTGGCTAAGTTGGCTGTAGTCAAATCTTGGGGAGGGTTGAGATGCATCAGTATCCATTGGGTCAGCTATGGTTGGAAGCTTTATTTGCTCAATCTCGCAATTCTCCAGTATCTCTTGCCTGCGTGACCTTAACTGTTCAATATGTGTCTCCTGTAACAAAAAAGAAGACTATTATTTTTTGTTCTCACTGATTTTGAGCAAATCAGTTCTGCTACTATCGAAAGACCCAACCAAGTCAGAATTTTGAATCACATTAGAATTTCAGCAGGGGATGAACACCAGAAACTAGGATTTAGTACTTACTGCACAAATTTATTTGAAGATAACTCTTTCCTGTTGTTTTCTTAATATGATCAAAACTGTAAAGTTTCAAATCAACTTCAGCCAAGAAGTTGGTTTCAACAATTAAAATTAGGGCAATCTGAAACGTAACTCTTGGGATTGATATTGGCAATCACAATTTCACAGATATTAGCAACCAAATCAGCAGAAGAAAGAAATATGAATCTTTCATAAATTAAGCTGGGTTTTATAGGGATTGATATTAGCAATGAAATTTTTGCTATCTTCACCCATGTGGATGGGCAGAATTTCTATCAACCCATTCATTTTCTATATTATTAGAAAAATATGAGGGCAGATAACAAAGACATAAAATACCAATCCCCTTTTTCTTCAGTTCAGCTCGTATGTCTAATTTTTAGATCGGCACAAAGTTGATGTTCATAGTAAGCTGAATCTGACCTTTGCATTTATCTGACGTTTCAATTTCCCTATGGTCCCAGTGACACTGTTTAATTTCTTGATTTGCTCTTGTACGAGCTTTTCACAATCATCTGCCTTGGACTTCCAACCTATACAAAGGAATAGAAACAAACATGAAAACAGCAAGTTGCAAACTAAATATGCCAAATGAACACATCCCGAAAAAACAATGGCAAGAAAAACCTTCAGGAGCATGCTGTATACGGTGATCGCTTAAGATATGTTATGCCCTTACAAAGCAGGATTTCTTAAGGAAAGTGCAGTGGCTAGCCTCAAAGGCTATGCCAGTTTTCTTTCTTACAAATGAAAAAACAGACGTTATATGGCTTCAGCCTTGGCAGAAGGCGTCGTATGAAAAAATGTAACCCGAGTTAAGCACCCCCAGAATTATGTCATCTTTTTCTTTTCTTTTTTTAAATGGTTAAAAGAAGTCACAACAGTCACAACTTTATAAAGTTTCAACTGCTCCACATCCTAATCTACCTCATCCTTCATGACCATTATCAAGAAGTTCAAAGCACAGCCACTAGAATGGTAATTCAATTGCACAACCACCACTGGTTGTCCAAAACCAAGAAGGCCGAGAACTTTGCAATCTTTGCTCCTGCTCATTCCTGCTCCATGGTACTAAAGCTATTGCATAACCTTATCAATAACAACAATTAATTTGACAGAAGCATACATTAAAACAAAAGAAAATAGATTCACTGCAAATCTTGCCATTTTCCAACATCATTATATGCCAAAGTGCCATTCCCTGTTACTCAGAATTTTTCTGTTTTCTTTTTTCGACATGTCAGCTTGGCTTCCGTTGTCTCCTAAATCTCATGCAATTCCTTTTGCATGCAATAAACGCAAATGCCAGTGGTAACATTATTACGATTACAAAAGAACTCAAATCCAATTTTAAGATATAGAGAGACAAATAGTTAAACAAATTGAACAGAAAAGATAAACAATCATACCATCAATTTCTTGCCTCATTTCTTCCATTTGACTTTCAGCTTCATCAACTATCCGTTTGGCTTCAATTTCTTTCTTTCGAACTGCTTTTAGTTCTTCCTCCAAAGAAGCAATAGAAGATAGAAGCTTCTCAATCGGGGCATCCATGTCCTGCCTTTGCTCGTACTCCAGCCTACCAACAGATGGCCATGAGTCATATCTCAGGATTAAGCCAATGAAAATAATTTTGAACAACGGTTTTATAATTGCTTAGACAAAGTATGGAAATGAAACCTGCAGTATGAACAAAATCTGTCAACATAATTTGTGCTTTGGTGGATCTTGGATGTGTGTGTGTGCACTTATAGGAAAAAATTTCATCAGCTGGCTGGTTTAAATAGTACTGGCAGGAAGCCTCAGATTCAATGCGAGCATATCCACACAGCCAAAGTGTATGGGCACCTTTCATTTTTCATTTTTTCTATATATCATCTTGAGCTGAAAATTTGTGGAGAGGTGCACAAACTCTAGGGGCACAAGAAAAAAGTATTAAAACAACTGTACTCAAAATAAAAATGACAAAATGCCCCTTCCCCTCTCTGTAAACGTGGACTATACTGAGCCGTCCAGCCTATACTGTAGCACAGGCGGGCTTGCTCCCAAAATCAAGTTCCACACACATACATGCATACATAAATACATACACACATGTATGGACAAACACACATACATACATACATATTTGTTGGATTGCCTCCTCTACAAGAAAGAGGATGACTTTATGCACAAGAGTTGATGCATGGGGATTTAATTACCTATTGGAAGTAATAAGAATTAGGCATACGGCGCATACCATCACCTAAAAAGGAAAAACAGTTCTTCTCATGATTCCAGATAACCCTATATGAGATGTACAAGGCATTAATTAACACTAAGATTCAGATGACTACTTTCATACCGGTGGGGACTCCCTCCAATGCTTAACATGTTACCTTGCCTCTTAATTAACATTTCCAAACAACCAAATTCATCATTCTCAGCAACTGTTTGTGCTGTCTAGGTTAGCATGTTAGTTCCATGACTCAATTTATTGGACAAGAGCCCATGACCAATTGCTAAAACTTTTACTGAATAAAACACTGGTGAAGTTCTTTACATGGATTTCCTCTAGTACTTGAATTCTCCTGTGTCATCATATCCAATACTAGACCGCTGCATGCTACAACTTACTGCAACCATGGATATTTTAAGTTGCAATGTTACAAGTCTGGCAAGGAATAAATGTTTCACTGCACTCAATCTGAAATGCCCATACAGGCTCAATACTAATATGCACAATTGTTAAGAGTATATGATATTGAAGGTCGGGAAAACACATAATTTCCAAATCTGAAGAGAAAAAAGTAGAGATTCTTTGGACTTGCAAGAATTAGGATAAAAGATAGTATCTATAATCCAATGGACTATGAAAAACTATAGTACATTGAGGTCACCACCTCCATTGAAATGTGACAGTGACAGAGAACTGGGACCTGCCACTTGCCTCGTGCCATTTCCTGATGGGACCCACTCTCTCCCCATCACCATCCATCATTTCAATGGGTAGTAATGACCCTAACTATGGTTTTTATTAAAGTATGCTGTGTTGTGGGAAAATGGAGGCATTTCCATAAAGTGTGAATACAATGCAATCAACGAATACATACTGGTACTTAAGTTTGGAGAGTTGGCTGCTCAAGCTTAGCCTTCTCTCTGAAATTTCTTCAGCAGCTTTGAGTTGTTTTTCCTCGTACTCACGGATGTTTGCCACTCCAACAGACTTACTGAAATCCCAATAGATACGATCAACGATCTCATTGATCCTGGTTTCAAGCCGTAAGATGTCCTTGTTTCGGTGTGAAACGCGTTTTTTTACCTGGGAAAGCAGACCTTGAAAAATCAACAGGGTGCACATAGATGCTAGCCATGAAGGGCAGTACGAACCAAACAATCACCTCTGCAAGTTGAGGCTTCAGAGCATCAATCTCTCCTTTTAGAGTGCTCCTATCTTTCTTCAACTTTGAGATCTTTTCTTCAATGCTTTTCTACACAGAAAATCCTCAATGTAAACCATGAGATACTCAAAAGTGACTCAAAAGGAAGAGGGAGACAATCACCAAAGACAATGTTTAATTAGCTGAAAACAAAAGACAATGTTTAATTAGCTGAAAACAAAATAACATGTTTATTAGTGTCAGTTTCAAGCGTGCAGGATCCTTCTCCAAATACAATGTTGCTGCGTCGCCCTCGTAATGGCAAATAGTATGGCTATGAAAATCACATCACCAAGAAGAAAGGTCCTCAGAATCGCTTTACACTATCTCCACGAAGCTTCAATTTAATAAGTACCTTCTCCATTTTAGAATACTGGATCTTTTTTTCAAGTCCAGTAATTTTCATAGATGCATCTGACTCCTTCATCTGCATATCTCTAATTGATCCCAGCTCCTCCATTTCTGCTTCATAGCCGTCTTTTTTCTTTTTTAAGGCTTCAAAATAGAAAAGATATCAGCACGTGTATTGTGAAAAAAGTAACATATAACGATGGTATGCAAATTCGAAAATCTAGACTATGAACCTTAAATAGTTAATTTTCTTTTTTACTTTTGATAAACCTTTTTTTTCAGAGAAATGATAAATACGAACCTTCAATATTTTTATCATTCCATTTATGTGATTTTGCTTCCATTCCTCCACTAATCCCACCAGTCATTGTACCAGCCTTAGTGAGGAGGGTCCCATCAAGAGTAACCACTAAAAGCATAAAAGTTCCCACTGATCAGAATTCCATAAACTGCAAATGGAGAAGAAAATACTGCAAAAATGTACGAATTTACCTTTGTACCTCTCCCCACTCCAGCTTAGATGTTTAGCTTCCTCAAGGCCATCACAAACTAAGGTATTCCCAACAGCATACAAAACAGCCTTCTCCAATGCAGGCGGAAATGTTCCCTTGTTAAGATTAAAAACAGTTTTGATACACTATTATTTCTTGGGTCCAATTACTATGCAGATCCAACTTCTCGTATCACCCAAATGGTGAAAAAGAGATATTTTTAGTGATCAATTCATTGAACCGAACAACTTCTCAATTAAAATTGCAGCCAAGCAGTCAATACAACATAAGGAAAACAAGAAACAGTGGCAGGAAACATATTCAAGGTATCTCAAAATGACAGGAAACATATTCAAGGCATCTCAAATATCTCTCTCTCTCTCTAGTCGTGGGAGACAAGGCACACAGGGGAATAGGG